CCACGCCCCCCTCGTGCAGTGGGGGGCACAGCCGTTATGCCGGAACACCGGCGTGCTGACGAGGTTGGCTAGGTTCCGGATTTTTTTTCGAGGTCGACTCCTCTATCCTGGTGGTGTGCAAAACACACCTATCGGTTTCAGGCCCCGGGGGTTTGAAGTCAGAGTCCCCGTCTCCTTCCAGCGATTGGGTTGGACCCTGTCGGAGTCGTTGGGCTTTGCACGGTCCCTCAGCAAGGGAGCCGTTTGCCTGCCGGAGGGGGAGATGAGAGAAGTCGCTAAACTCTCCCATCCCCCCTCTTATCCTATCTCTGCGCATTGACGGCGCGGAGGGCGTGGCCTAGGCCTATCGTCTCCTTGGCCCCTTTTCCTCCTCCTTTGGGAGGAGGTAGTGCCTCCCCCCCTCCTCACTCTCTCGGTCTCCTCCTTCCGAGACATGACCGTCTCACAGAAGGAGGAGACCGCCTCCCATGCATCCTCCCCCTCCAACATTCCCCTAACAAGGGAAGGGAGGGAGAGGTCTTCACCCACCACCTCGACCAGAACCCGACGCTCCCCGGCCCACGCCGAGCAATCCTCAAGCGTGTGCCGCGCCGAGTCCAGGTCGGCCGCACAGTGGTGGCACCGCGTAGTGCGCTCTTTCCCAATGCGGCACAGGTATTCACCGAAGCAACCATGCCCGGCGAAAACCTGCGCCATGCGGAAGGAAATTCCTCCTCCTCTCCTACCTACCCACTCCCGTAGGTAGGGCTGGATGGCCTCGACAGTCCTAATTCCAGGAAGACCCGGAGTAGCGTGTTCGCCCAGTCGGTGTCTCCACTCCCTGAGCGCCCACCTCCGGGCCCTGGCTTTCTCTCTATCCATTTCCCTGGGGATGTCTTCGGGGGCAATACCGCTCCGTCCGACCTCAATCGCGCACCGATAAGCTTCGGCACGCGACGCAGCGACTAGGTCGAACAGAAGCACCCCCGCCAGGGTCGTGGCCGCGACATACGACACCGTCCGGTAACACCGGGCGACTCTGATGGCCATGCGCCTATCCGCCTTCCTCACCAAGGCTATGGCGCGTTTGTTGGCCACCAGGTCGTTTGCCCAAATCGGTGCCCCGTAAAGGGACACCGACCGGACGGTATTTGCGTATAAGTGCCGAATTTTGGCACTTGGACCGCCAAGATTGGGCAGGAGGCGACTCAGCGCGTTCGCCATCCTGTCCACTCTGGGAGCAAGAGCATCAAAGTGCTGTGTAAATTCCCAGAGTCCATCCAGAGGCCCAGATACTTTATCTTGGACCCCACAGGGATACGGGACCCTCCGACGTTTATGGTTGTCGCGGGTGGTCTCTCTCCTGCCTTCCTATAGAAAAACAGGGCCTTCGTCTTATGAAGAGCCACCTGTAATCCCAGGCCCCGTATAGCGCGCACTACGCTGGCCACGGCTGCGGTTGCTACAGCCGCGGCCTCTCTCCATTCCTCCCCTCGAGCCATGACTAACGTGTCGTCGGCGTAACAGACGACGTCGCAGCCTGGGGGAAGGGCCGCCCGAAGCACCACGTCGTACCCGAGATTCCACAGCGTCGGGCCCAAAACAGACCCCTGTGGAACCCCGCAGTACATAGCCCTCTCGCATACCTCCCCGTTCCCGTTCCTATACAAGAACGTCCTGTCCCGGAGATAGTCCCACAGGACTGCCCGAAGATAGGGGGGCAGCTGAAGATGTTCGAATGCTGCCCCCAGACAGCCCCAGGGAAGGGAGTTGAAGGCATTCACGATATCAAGCGATACCGCTATTGCCACCTCTCCCCCCTCCAACGCGGCCTCCGAGAAGGAGCGGACGTGGCGTATTGCATCCACAGTGCTCCGCCCCTCCCGAAAGCCGAATTGCCTTTCATTCAAGGTGGGACCATCCCGAGACAGGTGCTGAACGAGGCGCCCTACGATAATACGCTCATAGAGCTTACCCGTCTCGTCCAGCAAACATATCGGCCGGTATGCGGAGGGTTACTCCGGCGGCTTGCGATCTTTGTGGAGGAGGACCAAGTTTGCCCTCCTCCACCGCGAGGGGAAAGTGCCGGACCTGAGGCAGGCGGTAAAGAGCCCCCCCAGCCGGTCACTTAGCACCTTTGCCACCAGGGCCCACGCCCTGCCGGGGATTCCGTCGGGTCCAGGCGCTTTGGCCGCTCCGCCAAGCCTGGCCCGCACCGCGGACATCTCCTCTGTCGAAACTGCCGGCTCCTCTGGCCACACTTCCCCTACTGTGGGGGGAGGGGTGACAGATCCCCCCACAGGGAACAGTGTGTTTACGATGTTGCCGAGGAGTTCCGGCTTAAGTCTCTCCGCAGTACGGGGCGCTCTTAGTCTCAGTTTCCTGAGAACTATCTTAAAGGGTAGCCCCCACGGATCCCGGTCCAGGGTGGAGGTAAGCTCCTCCCACGCCCTGGCCTTTGCTGTCCCAATGGCGGCCCGGAGGGCCTTTCGTGCGGCACGAAATCCCTCCAGTGCTTCAGTTGTTCCGGCATGATCCCCCCTTCTGCGCGCACGCAGGAATATGCGCCTGGCGGCCGAGGAGAGACGCCTAAGCTCGGCGATCTCCCCGGTCCACCAGTACATTGCCTTGCCGGGGGACCATCTAGATCGTGGCATGGACGCCTCACACGCGTCCTCAACCATGCTCACGATCCTCGTGGCTTCCTCCTCCAAGTCCACGGCCTGGCCGGATGGCATCGGCCAGGATTCCGCCAGAACAACCGCTATTAAGACGTCATTTTCCATCTTTCGGAGGACCCAACCCCTCCCCCGGGTGTTACGCCCGCGACGGCTGAGCTGTCCGGTGGGGGTGGTCGAAGCCTCGATCACAATATACCTGTGATCCGACCCCGATTCGAGGTCTTCTTCTACCCACCAACCCGTGACCCTGCGCGCGGCCGTCGGAGAAGCCCACATAAGATCCACGATAGACTCCCCCCGGGTACGCACGCAGGTGCTCCTCGAACCTGTGTTTAACAGGCACAGGCCGAGTGCCGCCGCCTAATCTTCCATCTCCCCCCTTCTCCTGTTGGTTCACGAGGAATTCCATTGCGTCGACCACGCGTTAAAATCTCCCGCGACAATGGTGGGCCGAGGGAGGCATCTGCGGATGCAGTCCCCCAGCTCCGACAGGAAGGTCTTGAAGGAGGGGAGTTTCCACCTCGGTGGGGCGTAACACCCTAGGACAAACCAGTCCCCCCACTCGATGGCCACGAACCCTATTTCGGCTCCAAATTTGGAGCACGGGCGGGAAATCGTGGCTGGTCGCCAGAAAATGGCGACCCCCTCTTCGGTTGGATCCGTGAACCAGTTGGGGTGGTCCCTCGGAATCCTAAGCGGCTCCGAGACCACCCCCAACTCGAACCCCCTCTCCGCCATGGTTTGATTAAATAAATCCTGTTCCATGGCGGAGTGGTTCGCATTCGCCTGGAGGATCCTTGTAGGAGAAAATGGTTCTACACAGAATCCTCCAGGTCTCCCACCGCAAT